TCAAGGCGTAGACAAACGACGAAGAAAATTGTTCATTCGATTGATTTGGTGGCAAAGAAAATAACACAAAGACGCAAACGAACAAAGGAAATAACTTATATGAAGTCACGACAGTCACAATTGTTCGGTCATGACTATTGTGAAACAAATGTTATTCACTTACCGATTTCTCGGTCGTGAAGCCTCGGGTACTCAAGATAGACTCGTATTTGCCATAGTACCGACGTTTTCCCTTCACTGAACCATGAGTCTGATAAATATCGAGTTAAAGGAATCAGCAATGGAATCATAGTGCCAAAAAAATATTTCAGTTTGAGTTTTCTGTTTAATGAGACAATTTTTTTTAATGATTTGGAAAAAAATCACTGACATTTCATGAAATTTCTCTGTCGCTCAGATCACAGTAAGTATGCTCAAATCACACTTCAGGCTCCGCAGAATTCATTAAAATAAAGTGAAATCAGTCAGAGTGATTGCGCGCACGGTTCCTATCGCATATCTAGAACCCAGCTGCACTAATCAAAATCACTATTGTGAAATTTCCGAGTGCCTTATGTGAAAATCTTAGGAATTCTGGGCTTTGTCTTCAATTATACGCTTATTCCTTGAAGACTGAAATAGAATTGAGTCGAGCACGACCACATGGAGTAGTCAGATATCTTATTATTTCAACTATAAACGTGAGACGAGATTAAATGGTGGAATTTGGATGATTATAAGTATAAATAACATGATTCTAGTGAGAATGCTCCTGTGAAATCAGACTAAGGGCTATAAAAGTAAGACATTAGTACGTGAGAGGACTGAGGAAGTAGTGTATTCTATTCTTTCGGTCCGCAATAATAATCCGTTTCTGTTCCCACAAAAGTACATGACACGAAAGAATAAAGGTTGCAAAATGAAATACTTCCTCAATGCATAACTAGTTATGGTCTAGCTATGTTTTAAGTTCTGAGGTTCGGTCACCTTCATCTTAATCGATCTTAATTGGGCAAAAACGTTTTTGAATGCTGATTGTCCAGCACAACACGAAAACTAAAAACAATCTATATCTATCGTTCAGGATATATTTTCAATAGCAGAGCAGCGGAGAAGAAGATTCAGCAACGGAATCAACATTTCCAAAAAAAAATTTCAGTATGAATTTTCAGTTTAATGAGACAAATCTTTTCATGATTGCGAAAAAAATCACCGAGCAGTATTGTCACGTAGAAACCAGGATCGTCCTTTAGCTGTCAGTTTTCAATCACTTCTTGACGTCAATTATTACCATCCGATTCATCGCATATCTTTTATAAGTTTGTTTGCTTCACAAGCTATCATTTTTAATTTAAAGGAAACACGAATTCGAAATTATTGTTGTGAGGAAAGTAATTGTAAATGTATTGCAATGGGACAAGTGTCATGGATTTTCATTTATTAATTTTCAGTTTCAATTTCCAGATGTTGGTTGTATCAATAAATACAGCACTCGCTGCAAAGAGACCTTGCTATTTTCGCTTCGAATGAAATCCTTCTTATGAGTGTTAAATATTTAAAATAAGGAAGAAAAAAATAAAACCTTTCCACGCTAGTATTGAAAAATAATAATTTTGTTTTATAATAATTTTGAAGTGAATACGTGCTGTTTGTCATCACTTGGACGGGTCTCGCGCATTATGACTGAAAGTTGGGCCTGGGTGGCACGTGATAAAGGGCTTCTCGATTGAGTGTTATAGAATTAAAACCTAAGTTATCGCATCAACCAATCAGAACAAGCGAAAATATCACAAGGAACAAATGAGGAGGCAGAGCGAAGTGAGCAAACCGCGTAAAGCGAGGGAAAACACGATAACTAGGGCGTGACTGGTCTTAGTTTTGCGTCTGATTGGTTAAGAGAGTGGCGCAAATTTTATGAAGCATTTACAGAGCGAACTAAAGCAAAACCACGTAATCCGAGATTACTTTTGACACCCAATTGAAAATTATTTAAATCTTTCTTTTCAAAAACCATACCAGATTTAGAGAACATAAATATACTCAACCGATCTCATTTATTACAGAATAGCACTGCTAGTGATTAGCTATTGGTGGTAAACTTCTGACCCCGACCAAGTACGAAAAAAACGTTCAGCTGCTGGCAATGCAAGAACGCTTTCAGATTAACTTTCTTTTTCAAAATAAGTACTAGCTTGTAAAACACCTTGCAATCGATATTCCGCATAGTACAAAAAAAGGTACATTGTTAACTATAAGCTGTTAGTAATACGTGAATTGTTTTGGCCTATATGCATCTCTCGATATATTAGAAGAACCCTTCACACAGCGCTAAAGTATGCTCGTATGTTTGCCCACAGTTATCTTCTATATCGGAAAACTGTAAGTTCGTTTTTAGGAACAGAGCTAAAGTTAACAAGAAAAAAAAAAAAAATAAATAGTATTCTCATAGAAGTACGCACCTTCAGAACTCAGAAACTGCTGATAAACACAATATCAAACCTGAAACACAATGCATTAACTGCGATGAAATATTTGCAAATTATTCCCTTGGCAGACCATCTCAACTGAACAAAATCCACACAGTAGCATCAGGTAATCGTTTCCTTCCTTTTCTCATCAAAAAATGGCGCTCTTAATTATAATTGAAAGAATGTCTCGTTTGTAATATTTTCAACGTTTTCATTTCGCGTGGAAAGATATTTGACGTGAAATCCTCTTACTTTGGCAAATATTTTTCACGTTTCCATATTGTACACTGTTGGTCGGTGTCGTTAATGTGTCTTACTATCATTTCCGCTTCGGAAACTGTTTCCATGGTCGGAAACATAATTCAATTTTGCTTTTAAGAGGCGAATGGGCTTACATGGACTTCGGACCTAAATGTTTTTCGATATGCAAGATATTCAAGACAAAGGAGACTGTGACAACGAAGGGCGCGTCGTAATCAAGATCCGAACCAGCCCTATACGCTTTCAAAAGACACGTAACCGTCTGCTTTCCTTAATCCGCGAGACGAGATCGAACGACAGTACAACAACAACAAAAGAAAACTGCCAGACCAGTAGTCCGAGAAAGTTTAGGCTTTGAAGTTTTCATGACATTTCTCGGCTTTGGTTATCTGCGGACAGTTAATCATAGTCTACGAGCAGCCCCTCCTTTCCGACGAAGTCTGTCAAAACATAATGAAATGGTAAATGATGTTAGCGCGCCGCTTGGAACTCTGGGAATGAGGCGCGCTAACATCAATGTTTCTTTCACTAATTTTTTTTCACTCGCGCGACAGACTTCGTCGTAAAGGAAGGAATGACTTTTCGTAGTCTAAGTTTAACATTTAATTTCCTTTTCTTTTGCATACTTTACAACACAAAAAAACTTCAACTAAAAACGAACTTATTAACATCAAACCAATTTGTTAGTTTGTTTTATTCGTTTCAAACGTGAACATTATTTCAATTGCAATACAAAATTGTTTCCCCGTGCTTCAGATAACTTCAATAAATAACATTTAATTTAATTATCAGCCTTAATTTGCAATCAAGATATCCATTGCCCAAATCTGATCCAATCCTATGACGTCAAATTCCAAAAGTCAAAGGCAAACGTTCAAGAAACCTGACGCCAACTTTTGTACATTTTGTACAAGACTCATCCTTTACATCCAGATATGCACATACCATTAGAAAATTTTACATAGCGTTAAATCTTGAAATTTAAATTTAATTATTGTTTTGCAAAAGTATGAACTTAAGCGGTTCAGTTTTTAAGTCCAAAAGTATTAAAGATCAACTATTTGCCTAAGGAAAGTTGAAGCTCTTAACCTTTTAACTCCCAGAAGTGATAAGTGATTAACATATAAATATATATATACATATATATATATGTATATATTGTGTTACTAAAAACCCAAACTTTTTTAATACATCACAGTAGGAGATGGAAAGACTCTTATATAATATAATATAATATAACATAATATAATATAATATACTATACCAGCTTTAGTTAAACTGGGTTTAACTGAATGAAAATCAGAAACAAAGTACTAAAATAGAATTTTCCATCATTTTCACGTACCAATAGTCTTTAACTCGTATTTTCAACGAGTTGAATTTGAAGTTGACCAACAATGGTTTAAACAGCTTCTTTAAAGAGAATGATTTCAAACCATGTTAACAAAACAGTTGTAAAACACGTAAACTTACATGTATGCTTTGTTGTGATTGGGATATAGGTCTACATTAGATACCACTTCCTTTTTTAAGCATCAACGAAAACAATAACTTCCTGACATTGTTGTGCTCTCTTACTTTAATAAACTGTGAAGTGACCCCATTCTGATGCCAAATGGCACCATTTATGACAATTATTGCTGTTTTTTTTAACGCCAAAACTGAATGCACCTTTTGGAAGAGAAAATTGGAAGTGAAGTTAATTCCGCAAAAAAACGAAACAAAATTGAATGAATCCTTCAAATGTATGTGCATGTCTTGTAGAGAACAATAACTTTGAAATTTGTTCCAGTGTAATCATGGTTTGAAAAGTTATTAAGGAATTCAGCCGTCAATTCATATCCAAAAACCTAACACTTACACCATAAAAGTTGCACAGAGATTACTACAGATCTGTTATGTAAACTTCTGTATTGTTCTGTGCCAAGAGATGGACTGGCCCAGAGATTACCAGTAGTGCCTGGGACCCACCGTCCACGTCGGACAATCAGTTGGGACATGTGCTTTTTCAGTGAATAGGACACTTACATGTAACCTCTCACAATGTGTCTATCCAACACAAAATCATAAATGGGTAGAGGCAAGCCGTTAGCAAAGCCTTTATGCACACACACACAAAAAAACAGTGATAAGTTCCTTCAGGACCAGACTTCTGACTCCTAAACTTACCTAATATTCGCAGGATGGTATGCAAAAGTTACTTTGTTTATACATTGTTTACTTACTTTTAAACATTGTTTACAAGAGTACTTACATCTAAAAAAAATAGTGTAACCTTAAAGTTCTAGAATCTAGAATGATTGGTAGGTAATGGATTAAAAAAAAAACAAACAAACAAATATTATAAAACAACTGGAACATCAGCCATTAGAGAATTTATCATTAATCTAGAAAAAATATTTTCTATTTGTTATCTGCTAAAAGTTTCATCACTTTAATTTAGGATTTGTACATCCATAGCACTGGTTTTGATCCATGGAATAGCAGACTAGAAGTTGATCATTCTGCTATTAAACAAAACACCTTAAATTTACCTCCTCCTAGAGTATGAATTTGCATTACCCAAAAATCACTTGGGTACTTTATTGTGCATCATCTCTTTTGCATTAACTGGAAACACAGTGCATGATCTCTTGTATCCCCCCATCCTCCATTAGGACTAAATTTAGAAGCTAGATTGTGTTCACCTTCCTGTATGTTCACAGAGGGTGGAAATAGGCTGTTTGTGTTCTTCTCTATGATGGTTTGGAACTTCTGCACAGTAGCGTCAATCTTGCAATCAGTTTTCTTGTGATGAAGACCACTGTAATGACAAAGAGTAATTTATGTTATCACAATATTCACATCATAAAAATGGAAGGTCCTCCTCATTAGCACTCAAGACAATAACAAACAGTAAATTATGTGATCATAATAATCACATCATAAAAATGGAGGGCCCTCCTAAATTTAGCACTCAAGACAATAACAAACAGTAACTTATGTTATCATAATAATCACATTATAAAAAAAAGCCCTCCTTATTAGCCCTCAAGACGTGCATTTCTCTGCATCCAGGAATGTTTGAGACGAGTCAGGGAGAGATTTACTGGGGGTCTAACACTTCATTATCAGTGAAAAGCTTGTGTCAAAGTGCTTAGAATGAGGGCTTGCTCTTAGGTTAAAAAAATCAACAACAAACAGCAAAGAAGAAAGAGTAACACAGATAACAATCACAGCCAGGATAAAATGCAGTTTCATACATAAGGTACGTACATACACTTCCATACGTATGATGTAGCCATTAAGTATACTGATTGAATATCCTAAGATCAACTTTACCATTCTCCCAGGTGAAAAACTCTTGGGCCCTTGAGGATGAGTGACTTGAATGGCTGTGGCAAGCAGGAAACACTTATCTTCATCAAAGACCAATCCCAATTGTACTCATCATAGCTCTTGCAAAAAACCTATAAAAATTGAGTGACTTCTTGATCAAGTCATGCAAATTGACATCCTCACAAAGGCAATTGCAGATTAAAAAAAATACATGATGACCAATAAGTAGAGGAAATAATCTTTGAATTTCCATTTTGTATGCTCTATCTTAATGCTACACAAATTCATGGGATCATGTGCACACATCACCTCACATCATGCATGTAGGGTAAAATTACATGTAAATGCACGAGTTGTTCTGGAGTATCTAATAATGGTTGGTAGACACTTAAAAATTCTCATATAATATTGTTACTAGCTACAGTGGGTGTAAAAGTATGTTCCTTCCTGCTGCTAACAAAAAGGCACCATTTTTTGTTCTTGAGCATAGCAGGGTCAGGTTTTAAAACTCTTAATCGCACACACACAAATTCATAGCAGTCACCCTTAACCTAGTAAGTTGTGACACCTACGTGGAAACAAGTCTGTTCCTGGGCCTTTTAAACAACCCATAACTTTGGGGGGAGGGGGAAGGGGAGGGGAGGGGGTAGGAGTTTTGGATTTATTTCGCGTACTGTTGCTGCAGTAGTAAGTGTAAAAAAAGGAAGCATGCTAGAATATAGAATAGTACTATGAAGTTTGGTGAAAATTACCATGATATCAAAAGGCTCTTAACAACTAAAATAAATTTAAAATGATGTGTATACATGATTATTCCCACTCACATCACTACATTCTTTTATTTTATTCCATGTCACTCTATCAAATGCCATCCCCATGTTGTGTTCGTGGGATCTCCAAACTGAAAGGGCTGCCTGGATGTGGTAAAATTGTTTAAGATTTAACATTTAGCTCCTACGACACACCTCAAAGACTTAACAAGATTATTTAACCCTTTTTATTCCCAGAGGTGATTAACATGTAACTTCTCCCAATAATATCCATACATTATCCAGCAAGTAGGTGATGAGAATACTCAATTCCAAATTCTCATGATAAATTTACAAGAAAATGTGCAGAAGCTAGAGGGGAGAATTAACAATCAGATCTTGGGAGTTAAAGGTTAATGTCATCTCAATGCATCTACTATTTTGTCCCATATTGTTAGTTGGCCAGTGATTTTACAGTGTGATAAAAAGTACATGAATGAACATCCAGTTTGTCTGTGCACAGTGAATACCAAAAGTGAAAGCACCTTACCACGTCTTTAGCACCATTCAGCTCATAATTATCCACAGCTCTGTATGTACCCAAGGTTATCAAATCACAGTCTTCCTTACAACCACTGTCAATCAAGTAATGCACAAACATTTGAAAAATGTTGACAGACAACCTTATCGGCAGGTTTAACAATAGAAGAATAACAAAAGAATCACACCAGTACTTATGATATGTTATTTAGTGAGTTTGAAGTGCCACTCTGGAAGACATGTAACTGCTAACACCCCTATCCCACATTTTGCCTGACAAATGCAAATCATAGCTGTCACAAAACACCATTATGTATCTTTGAATGCAGTTTGCTTAATTTACATGTTCAGTCATGAAGATGGCCGCTAGTGTTATCCAGCACTTGGGGCAATTGATTGTCTTAACCCTTTAACTCCCATAAGTGACCAAGACAGAATTTCTCCTTACAATATCAATAAAATATCAAACAGATAAGTGATGAGAATAAAGAAAAATATCAATTTAGGGATGATAAGTTGATCCAATGCTAAATTCTCTGAACTAACATCATAAGAATCATACGATTGAAAGTCAGGAGAATTACAGAGTTGATCTGGGAGTTAAAGGGTTAAATTTGTATTCTAATAGGCTCCTTGTAGTATTTTCCTTTCCTCTGATTGACTGTAGTATTTTCCTTTCCTCTGATTGACTGTAGTATTTTCCTTTCCTTTCCTCTGATTGGCTGTAGTATTTTCCTTTTCTCTGATTGGCTGTTGTGACTACTTTTGTTTGGTGTAACAAGGCTAATGCTCTCTATGCTAACTAGAAATTTATATTACGTGTTACTAACAATATGATTTACAAACTAGACCTAAACATTAGTAGCAAATGCATTTGCTATGACGAAGGGCTGACGCTCAAAAAGTCATCTTTGAAACTCTTTACAGTGGCCAAATTATGTATATCAACTCAGTTAATAATAACAAATTACCTAAATAGAACTAACCTCATTTTGCTGTTGTACAATAATTTTAACATGTGGTAGAAGTCTGGACTAACATAGTAATCTTCTTCGAGGAATAAAACTGGACCTGCATAGTCTTTTGTAACATTCAGCATGTCAAATACTGTGTTTGCCTTTAGAAAAATTCACAATCCAGGTTAACAAATAAATCCAAGAGTAATTAAAAAGGAAGTGAAGATGATCTTAAAAACTGTGAATATGTGCAGTACTTAGCAAATGCCAAGACTACTAGTAACAGTAATGGAACATTGTAGGTGCATTATCCAAAGACTAAAGCTTAAGATGAATAATGTGTAAGCAAACAAAGGTAGATGTTTTGTTTGTTAAATTTGATATTGATGAAGACTTTATTGTTATTAACCACATGCTTTTTCTTGCAAAGTTCTATATCTAACTCTATAATACAAAACCATCTTTAGGAATTTTTAACGCTAAATTAAAAGCCACTCTTAACATGGAATTTTTGATTGCCAAAAGAAATGGCACACTGGTAAAACATTACAAACATTGGGAAGCTTTTATTCATATAAAGTAACTCCCCTTTCGACCATTCTACCATAAGTGTAGTTAAATAATAATGAGCCATGCAACAAGAATTCATAGGCTATTTTTGCACTTTGTGCAATAAGCTGGTTTTCTCAACTGTTCTTCTTCCCTGTTCTCTGCAGTATTACATACTGTAGAGTAATTGCAATGCTAGCATTGTAAGTGATGTTTAATCTTGTAAGTAATGACGCTTTTAGTGCATTATGTAGCGTTAGTAGTGTAGGTAAAGTTAGTGCTGTAAGCATTGTAAAAGTTACTATTGCAAGTAGTATTAGTTTTTGAAAGTAAAGTTTGTTTTTGTTAAGTAATGTAAGATTGTAAGAAATGTCACTAATGTTAGTATTATAAGTAATGTGTATATTTAAATAAAAATTTTTAACAGAACAGTTGAACAGTGTCTTCCCAAATTGACCATACCAACTGCACATTCAGAAAAGGAAACAAAACCATCTTTTTCACATACAAGGTCTATATGTCACCATTGTGAAACTTGCCTGGTACTATCAGCATTTTTCTTTCAGAATGTCATAGCTGATTGTTTGAAAGAAGGAGTGTACTCTACTTTTACTGAAATGACACCACTAAGAGGATCAAGAATTTTGTAATAACAAAACTTAGCTCCTGAACAGCAATTTATGCCCCTTGAAAATGTATCAATTCTTTCAAGCAACTGGAGCAAGGTAAAAGGAGGGTAAATCTGCGATATAGTGAACTTACCTTCCACCACCAGTGATGTTTTATCATAGTAAATGGTGCTTGTCTGTAGTGACCATACATGTCTGGAGTCTCTGCATTGATACAGCCCATTTCTTTAGCTCTAAAAGTGAAAATACACTTTTAATCCTTTACACTCTTGCATCAGTATACATATTCTCTACACTATTCTCTATACATTTTCTAAGGTGCTGACAAGGAGAATTTGATCAGCAATGTAGAGCTTCTTTAGTTGGTGATCATTTCATTTATTCTCGTGACCTTCATGTTTGATTCAGGGGTGGTATTGTGAGGAGAAATTAGATGCTAGTCAGTCTCTTAGAGGTTGAAGGGTTAATTAGAATAAATATCTTTCAGACTGAATAGCTCATTTGTATACAGTCACGTGTGCATTTTTTTATCACATGCAGGTGCAATCTGTGTTATTTGGTGTGCAGTATGGAAATTGCATGCATGTCAAGCATGTGTGATGCTGCAGTTCAAGAGAGCTTTACCAGCATTACAGTGAATGTAACAAGTCCCATGTCAAGCAAAAGAGTTGTCCATGTTTGAGGTATCTGAAAAGTTGAAGATACCAAAAATGAATTTGATGTACTCACTTCTCACGTCTGATATCTCTTGGGCAGTCCTTAGGATCAGTTCCAGGAAACTCATTTGGATACAGCTGATATGAGAATGGGAAAAAGATTTGCATGACCTGCAAAAAATAAAAAAAATAAATTAAGATAAAAAATACATTTAAACTATATGGAGTAATTTTTTAGGAATCTAGATTCATAACAAGAAGCAATGCTTGACTGTTTGGTGGGATCATCTAGGTATTGGAATAAATCATACTTGTTGTTGTTTTTAGTTTTACTTCTTATGACTAATGTACTGCGTAACTTTGCTCTTTTTGTTTAAATTACAGTTACTGTCATCAACAGAAACCCCTCTCTGAACAACCCTTGGTCAGACAAACTCACAAAACATTGGAACCTGGCAGTGTTTTTTGGTAAACTGCCAGCCATAAAGGAAACAAGGTTGATTTCATTACCTACATCTAGATGCGTTAACCCTTTCACTCTCAGGATCTCCTCTGAGTTATTCTTGTTACTGCCTGCCATACAATTCTCATGATTTTAGTTTGGAGAAATTGGTATTGGATCTACTCATAATTCCCTAACTGACATTTTCTCTATTATCATCACTTGTCTGCTTGATGTTGTAGTTATATTGTAAGGAGAAATTCTTCCTTAGTCATTCAGGTGAGTTAAAGGGTTAAACAACAGCAAAAGAAAAAATATCAACTCTAGATTGTATCATGCTTGCACTTAGTCAAAACAAACATGCAAAAAATAACAGGTTGTGCTATTTGACATGTACCTGAAACAAGCTAAGTTCACTAACATTTCTTAAATTTGCTGACTCAAATTTTGAGACATAATTGACTCATCTAAGTCTCGTGAGGGCTGTCCAAGATATTCATTCAGCAATTAATTTCATGTATATTTTCATAATGATTTTATAAAAATTATCAATAATTGCGTGACAACTTACTCTTAAAAGCCCCCCGAGGTTCATGAACCTTTCTGAACAGTGAGGAGAGCGTCTACTGAGTATATTGTAGGTAATAATTACGGTAATAATCTCTTGTAATCGCAATGTATACTCTGGTTTTCGGGTATATGTTTCCAGCTGCTTTTGTTTTGGCAAACAATAATCAACATAAATTTACGCGAGGCGTCACTAAGTTGATACATGAATAATTGATTCTTTGAGGAAAATTTACGTTAAGAAGGATTCCGATTTTTTCCATGTTTTGCTTTCCGTAATTAGACTCCCCTTGGAATAACACTCCAAATTGATCGCTGCGGTGTTAGAATCACCTTAAAGCTACGAAAAAGACCACATATTAAAAAGGAAAAACCCACTACAATAAATTACCACGAGTAAGAGGTATTGCATTAAGGACACTTCAGCGGAAGTCGTTTTTAAAGTTTTAAAGCGATATCATGGGACAAAATGAAGGAAGATTTTCAGCCATCTACCGGTATTATTAGGAGCATGTCATAAGCTTAACTTCATCCCTACAATAAAAAATCGTAAACATAATGCGAAACAAGTTATGGTAAACTTGTCGAAAGTCAACATTTGCTTCGGAAAAGCTCTCACTTTTGGTAATCAATTCCCAGCAGTTTTATCACCTAATTGAATTAAAATGAGAATCAACGTTGACTAAGGATGAAGTTAATTGAAAGAAGGCACTTACTCTACAAAAGTCGATGGATTCCACCAGTTTGTTCATTTCCTCGGAGTGATAGTCATGACTGACAATAAGCAAAGCATCTTCGATTCCTCTCGAGCGCCTCATAGAATTCAGTAAATGAGAAAAATAATCACTTCTATCGTGCACTTGAATAATGATCACAATTGAACTTGGAGACAAAGTCGTACCGAATTTGTCGCCATTTCTGATGTACTGTTCGTCATTCATATTCTTTACGAAATGTCTAAGTTTCTGAATCTCAGGTTCAACGCTTTTGTTTAGTGAAATTTTTATTGTTGGTCGCTTTGTAGTAACACGTAAGCTCTCTTGCGGGACATTGATGTTTATATTTTCATTCCTTGCTTCAGTTTTGATAGCGTTTTCGATTGATGTTGTCACAAGCGCATTGATCTGCGGCCGATTTAGATAAAAACCATTATTATGAGGAGGAGGGTCGATATTGCCAGACGGGTCGAAGGCAATGATCTCGTGTAGCGTCAGCACCGCAATAACTGCTCCAATTCCCACCATAACCAAAATAAACAGTTTTGTACTAAAGAGACGTATAGTAGTCCCTCTATATTTGAAAATCATGGCTTCAGCGTTCAAAGAGGAAAATACCATACTGACTCCTTGCTACAGCAAGGGATGACTTTGTAAGATATATTCAGTTGAACCCATAATGGCGGACGCGAAGCCGGCGTTCCTAATAATGAGGGCTAAGACATGCATGTTAGTCCCTTTAAAATGGTCCTTCTTGCTACCAAACTCTATCTTGAATCCTTGGTAGCATATGTTTTCCTACAGGAACGACTTCCAAGGTCATCTAAACATTTTTCGGGGAGTGATTTCAACTGTAACTAGCGACCATTACCGCAGATACATATACAGCTTCCGTTTCCCGTGTTTGCGCGCGTGTAATTTATTGCTGAGCGCCTTACCTGTTTCCACTCTCACTCGGTTTGCCCACGCTGCGAGAAACAAAATGGCAGCTTGTGATGCAGTTTGTGTTACTATAAAATGGAGTGGAAAAGAATATTCTATCGACAAATTATCGCCGACAGACACGGTCGGATATCTAAAAGAGGTGATTAAGGAAAAAACCGGAGTTTTACCCGAAAGACAGAAACTGTTAGGTTTGAAATATAAAGGTAAAAAATAAAAGTTAGTCGCTATTAATATTTGGTAGAGCTGCAGATTGAGAGGGAAGCGTGTGTAAATTATAAAATTAAATGTGGTTAAATTTTAAGTTATGATGGATAGGAAAGTTTCTTAATGAGGTGAGTTCCTCAAATGAGATACAGCTTTCACACATACGCCGTAAATCTTGAAATTACCACTATCTCTTTCCAAGGCGCCTTTTTCAAATTGTTTTGTCACCAAACAACAGTTTTCTGGTGTATTTTTCATTTCAGGGAAAACTCCTGATGATGATGTGCGCCTGAGCGCCTTAAATTTGAAGTCTAACACAAAGATTATGATGATGGGAACAAGAGAAGAAAAATTAGTACGGCTTGTTAATTTTTTATAAATATGAAATATTAGTCCTGGGTAACTTGCTCTACCTACGTGAATAGTATGTTATGATGACCTGAATTTTCAGCAAATTGAAAAAAAAAAGAAGATATCGTAGCTGTGTCAATTTTTGAAAACTTTAGTCTGTGCACCGTGTTCTATGGTGATGACAGAAAACCTAACACTAAAAAGGTTTTTTTTTTCAAACATGTTGCTTGCATTTTCCTCACAGGCTGAAGTGATTTCTCCTTCCGAAGAGTTATTGAACAATCAAGTGATAAATGACTTTGACATTGAGGAAGAAGAGATCCAAATAGAAAACAGGTACGTAAACCTTTTTAATGACATTGAGTCAAAGCGCTCCATGAGTCATTACTTTTAAGGTCAAGATTTGCATCCTCATTCCCACACTTTTTGCCATATCTTTTTTTCCTGTCAAAAAAATGTATTTTTCACTTCTCCAATTTCTCCAAAGGAATAATTTGTACACCAAAATTTTGGAATGAAAAATGTAGGCCACTGTGCTCATTTGAGAGGTAATTAGACCACTGTACTTGTTTACCTTGCCTATCAATTGAAAAACAATACCATGTTCTTGGTATCCATGCATGTTTATTGGCTGAACACAGTTTGCACAGTGCAATACTGAGGAATTGCCTTAAAGAGGCTCTGGGGAATAAACCATACAAACTCTTTCACTCCTCAGAGCTTCATATGGCAGTCCATGGTGTATCACTAAATTTTTAAAGATAAAAATTGGTGGAATTTATAATCTGTAAGTTTGTTGTAAAAATATAGATTAAAGAACAATTTTTGGCTTTTAATATTATTCTAGGTAACCAACCATGTTATATCTTTGCAGAGATGAGAATCTTGCCAAAATAGATAAAAGAATATCAGACTATAAAGTGGAAATACGTAATCCACCAAGAGCTGGAAAGAAGTTACTGGTACTTGATGTTGATTACACAATATTTGGTGTGTATATCAGTTTTAACTTCTTTATCAGTTTAAACAAGAGCTACACATTCCATCAATGGAAGTTATCATCCGTGATGATTCAGTTAAATAATCAGTTTGCAGATTTTAAAAATGATACTTATTGTATCTCTCAGTTAGTGCATGCACTATGGAAATCATTGGTCAATCAAAATTTTGTTTGAATTAAAATCTTCTCCCTCTATTTGAACTCAGAAATATAATAGATATCTTACTAACCTCATTTTTCTGCACTGATTGATGGCCTGCATGCTTTGCATGTAGGCCATACAGTATAACTGTACATGTAAATCCAAGAGGAAAAAACTGCGACTTACAGTAGGGACCTCAAACTCTATTACATTGATCTAGAGATTATGTAACTATTTAATTTCAGATCACAGATCAGTTGCAGAGACTGGTGTGGAACTTATGAGACCATATCTTCATGATTTTCTCACTGCTGCCTATGAGCATTATGACATTGCTATATGGTGTAAGTGACTGTATTAAGCAGTTATTGACTGAAGTAAATATTGATGAATACTCCCCTAGACAAAGCCAAGGGATATAGCAATATTAACTTAGCTTGAGGTGAAAAATTGTTTTAGTATAATAATTGAATAGTAGGTGCTTTCAAATTATGTTGTAAATATTTATTTTGATGTTGAAACCGTTCTGTTTTTAATAGGTTGTTGATTACTCATATCGAGATAAGCTGTCAGTGTCCATTTTTAGAAATTAATAGGTTTATTTAATTAAATCAGCAAAACCTTCAGATCTTTCTTTTGAAAAGTGTCAGGCCAAACTTACTAGCATGAATTTTCTCCTGTTGGGTTTATCACTTCCTTGGTAACATTGACAAAATGCAGTGCAGCCATTTTGAAACTTGTAGCTCTCTTGCTACTGAGTATAACCACCTTGCCCAAGGTGCCCATTTTTATAATCATTGCAGTATACTAAAAGTTACACTGAATTTCTTAAATTTGAAAAAATAAGTAACTAACAGAATCAACAAGAAAGTAAATTTGTTATGCAAAAACCCATAGGAAATTTTTGAGAATAAATCCTTGTCAGGGATGACCTTATTCAGGAAAAGTGTGATTTCCATCATTTCTTGAGAGGCTGGTGTTTGATCCTCCACAGAAGGAATGACTAGTTGTACAATCAGCAAACTATGTCAATCTGTAAAGTAAAGAAACTGAACAAAAAATTAAAACTTGGAAGAAACTGCCTGTTGTAAATACCATGTGTAGTGCTCATTTTGGTATAATTAATGATTTAGTACATTGTATTTACTGAATATTCCAATAATATTTTTCCTGCTGTTTGTAACACAGCTGCCACTAGTATGAAATGGATAGAGGCTAAAATGAAAGTAAGGAAATTATAAATGAGTAAGTTATATTCTGTGGTTTTACAGTTGTTGAATTCTTCATAACTGTGTGTCTTTTTTATCTTAAACTATGTCATGATTATAATAATAATAATAATGATGGTAATAACAATGAAAACAATAATTACAATAATGACAATAGTGTTAACTTTATAATTAACATTGATAATAATAATTATAATAGTAATGCTCATAATAATTATTATGATAACTACATGACTATAACAACAACTTACAATGGTTATGATGATTATGATATTAGTTTTACTAATAGTGATGATGAGTATGATGCTAACTTATTGGTTTCATTAAACTTTGTATTTTTCTCCAGGAACTTGGTATTTTTGACAATCCAAATTACAAGATTTCCTTTCTTTTGGACAGTGGAGCAATGATTACTGTTCTGTCAACAAAATATGGGCTTATTGAGGTAAAGTTTTATATTTAAACAACTGAGTGAAATGTGAAGTAGGAAAGGTGGCTCTGTGTCACTAATGCAATCTTTGAATTGCTTAAGACTCATTTTTCTTGTAGACTAAGCCACTTGGTGTTATATGGGGAAAGTTTGAGGAATACACAAGCAAAAACACCATCATGTTTGATGATCTCAGAAGAAACTTCCTCATGAATCCACAAAATGGTTTGAAGGTATAGTTATATTATGCATGTATTCTGTTAGGGGTACGTTTCAAATTAAGATTATTTTTTATCTGAATCATCAATAATTGCACCTGTTTACAGCCTTTATTTTTAATGAATAATTTAAATGAAAACAAACAAACACAGTGTACATATACAATGTTTAATTCAAGCCATTATTTAGTGTTGCATGTAGATGGCATTCTCCATTGCCAAAAAACTAGCAAGATTTTAAAAAGAAACAGATTTTATCTGTGAGATGCATGCTGTTTCCTACAAATGTACTTAATTCACAACTGTGCTGTCATTTTGTTTTAAGATCAGACCTTTTCGAGAAGCCCACAAAAATAGACACAAAGACAGAGAACTGTTAAAATTAACAAAGTACTTGAAGAAGATTGCCAAACTAGATGATCTTAGTGATTTAAACCACAAGCACTGGGAGAGGTATGTATGATAATTAATATGTACAGTACAATAATAATAATAATAATAACTCAAGAATGTTTATTCGTTATTCAATTTGTTACAAGATCCCTCTAACATGGGTTAATTAAAGTATACAGTCACACATGTCTTCCCTACATGCTAAGACATGTATACAGATATATACTGTTATACTTAGAACCAGTAGCAAGTGATTTTTGTTTTGTGTAATTATGATGAATTACTCTTTCCAAAAGAATTTAAAATCAAAGAATAATGCTAATTTAAGTTTTTTTTTAAGTGCCAGGTGCAGCAACAAAACCCAATTTTTTTTTTCAAACAAATACATGTTGTGTGTTCAATAAATCAGCTCGAGTAAATTTTTCAAAGGCTAACCAAATTGCATAGGCCTGTAGGGCAAGTGCAATTTGTGGTCTTTGAGCGAGTGCTGATTTATCTCAAATTGCAAAAGAAAAATAATGTGATTACTAGTTAATAATATACAAGCAAAAAGATTACTGTTTTTGCTTTTAGTTGTTTTTATTTCGTGCCATAGCTCACTAGTTCAGCTGCTGGCCTCTGTCTTATTGCCAGAGGTACCAACTTTTCCCTCAAAAACTTTCTTCAAACTCTTAACACCTCTCTGAAGAATTATTGATCATTTATATTCTTTATCTTGTTAGGTATCAGTCAATAGTAATAAGCATTACATGAAAGCTATCATGCTTGTAATCTTCCCCGTCTTTCCTATGAACTGTTACATAAAACTTGAAGAGAATTTTATCCAGGACCTCTTATTAATGCTTTTATATCCATTTTTGGAAGCCAGACTTAAAGACAGTTGTTTTCCCTTTGTTGGGTGTTTTTGTTTTTTGCATTCTCCCCCAAACTCTGAATTAATTTAACTCTTTTGTTGTGATTTTGCGACTTACCTGTCAATCAACGTAATTTCAACTTAAACTTCCTGCACTCAATTTCAACTTTCTGCACTCAATTTCATCATTCCTGGATGGGATTGATGCTAGTCCATTGCAAGGTTACCCCCTAGCATTTCATTAGGCTTCCCACCTGACAATTTGGCAATACCCATTTATACTCCTGTGTGGGGAGAAGCACTATGAGTGAAGTGTCTTATCCCAGAACACAACTCAGTGATCTTAAACCTCTCAACCAAAAGTCCAGTACACTGATCATAGGCCACTGTGTCCCCCAGCATGTATAAGGACATTGAGATGATTTAGATGGACCCTTCTAACTTTTAAAGTTACTTGCTTTTGAATTCCTAGATTACTTTCTAATGTTACTGATTAGTTTGTTTGTTTGTTTTTTTTTCAGCTACAAGCCATGATGAATAATTTTCAATTTTGATATAAATGAAGACAGTTGATATGAAGACAACTCCAGGAAGTCTAAAACAAGAAAAAAAAATTCTGATTAGCTTAAAGTTTTGTACATAACTTTTACTTTGGATGAAAGTTTTAAAAATGGTGTTGTCTTTGTTCTCAACAAGCTTTGTAATTGTACATCAGCCACCATGGGTAACTGGTGTTGTAAACTCCTCTGGAGGCTAACATGTAGTTATTTATGCATACCTTTTATAGTCAACCTGATGTTAAATATTGATGGTTGTTGATATTATTCCCATCAGAGTTTATTGGTCCAAATAATTCTCTCCAGAATTTGTCATCAGGTTTTAAAAGTAATTGAGGCCTGGAGTTGAAAGCTCAATTTTGCTTGTTACATACAGGGTGTGTCTGTGGAGCTTTGCTCTCTTCAGAAAATACAATAACTGTCAAATTTATTATTATTATTATTCTATTGTTATTTAATTGTTTTCTTAAAGTAAGCAATTACTCCTAAGCCCTCTGTTTATCATAAGAAATTACACATACATTAATGAGTGAGTAGAAAATATCATCAGGAAAATGTCATTCCCTACTACATACTCTTGGTTACATCCCTGCCTCTCTCTTGGTAACCCAAAAAAGAGGGACCAGTATCAAGTGGTACTAGGGCACCAACAGTAATGTTTTCATCAAGTGCTGTATGTGCACAAACCATCTGTTAAATAATGCAATTAAAAGACTACAAGGCAGTGGCCAAAGATAGGTTCAAGAGAAGTAGCTACACTGATTTGGTTCAGCAATTGCCTGGTGACCACCAAGTTGATATGTTCCAATCAATGTAGCAGAGTGGGAAAGGGTAGTTGCCATCAAATGTTACAGAGAAGAATTCCCACCTCTCACGTCCCCTTGAGAAATTTTCTCTTTTTTATTAATAGCCGACCTCTGTGTGCAAGTGGAGAACTGTACTATCACTTTTCCTTTTCTAATAAAATCCCACTCCTCCCAGTAAGAGGGCTCTTTTCAGTTAACATTTCCTCCCACCCTTCCTAACAAACACTGTGTATATTCAGAGCAATTTGGAAGAGGTGATCTGTTCTTTCAAAAGAAAGGAAATACTAAATATTTCAAGCATTACACAGATGTTTCATTAAAAGCAGGTTATAAGACCTCTTCCCACCTTCTGTTCAACTTTAAAGCTGGCTCTTGTGTTTGGGTTTTACCTTACAGCCCCTTTATGAGCACAGCCTCCTATTACGCCATCAGCATCCATTAAAGGAAAAACTTTGTAAACCTCTGATTATACTTCAGTCTATGCTGAAGGAGTGCTGTTAAACAAATACCTTGTTTTGGTATGCATTGAATAATTGGCTGTAGAGTGGGAAAGAGTTGCAAAGGGGAAGGCATAGTGAGGAGTATGCAAGCAATCATTTGTAGGAAACAGTGCCACGTTATTGAACTGCTTGCTTTCCCTGTTAAGGCTTACATTGTTCTGCAAATCCAAAATGGCAGAACGGGCCAAGCATGTTAATATAACTTGTACAAGTCTGTGGAGCTGACCACAGCAAATTATTTAATTTAATAGCACTGTAAGAAAACACCCAACAACACACACACTTGTCTTCTAGCTTGACTCATTATCTATGGCAGTTACATGTACAAGCACCACAATAGCTATTATCTTGGACAAAGTTTGTTCAACTTCTTTATATTAATTGGGTATAAAGGGCAACAGACTTTCTTCTGAACTCAGATGTCCCTTTAGACAAGTGAAGTGCTTGTTTTACCTCTCCAGAAAACCTCACAAAACAACCTCTAGGTAAGAGGCAGGATTCCCTTGCAACTAAATGGTGCACACAATATGAAATCAAACACGAGTAACTGACACAGAATTATATGTATTATACTATTGCATCTGATTGATTACTTTTGTCTGATTGGAAAAGTTACGTGTCCAAGACATTCGGACGGTCCAAATTTCACACACAAGTAACTGACACAAAATAATATTTATTATACTATTACATCTGACTGATTACTATTGTCTGATTGAAAAAGTTACCCATCTAAGACAGTCAGACAGTCCAGGCTTCCTGCTCTGCTACTAAATTTCACGCATTTGCAGATAAGCTACTGAACAATATTGTTAGGTTTGCTAATTGAAAAGGCCATTAGTACAGTAGCTAGCAAAGCCAGTCTTGTAACATACAAACATAGCATTTCAGGTCCATTATTCTCTCCAAAAGTTTTCTGTAGTCATTTCTGTGTTAACTCTGGAACTCTCATGATCTGCAGAGTAATTCTTCCCTATACATGTAGCTTTCTTAAGACTAGTGTTTGGCTATACATCAGCACAACATCCCTAAGCCTTTAAGTCTGTCCTCTTCCAGCACCTACTGGCTGGAGTATGTATTGATAACGTAAGGTAGAGTTACGTAATAAAGACGCCTGAGACGAAGTGGATTATATGGGGTACCACCAGTAAGAAAAATAACAAACATGGAAATCACATTCCTTACCGAGTTAGAACAGAATTGTACTCATAAACTTATCACAAGATCCTGGACCTAACTTAGAATGAGTTAAGACCATACAATCTCCAGTATTGTGTTCTTAAAAGCTGTCATTGTCTTAAACAGTTTTTAAAGTGTGCAATATTTCATAATGGATGTCATGATTGAACGTTGGTCTCGGATGATTTTTCTCCAAGTTCTATCCGTCGACCCGTAAATCCAGTCTTATAACCTTGATTTCTTTCGAAGATAGTTTGCGGTATTCCTTCCCTGTATTTCAAACTCTGAACCTTTGTTGGATCATCCAGAGAATCAATCTGCCTTAAAGTTCGTTCCTCCATGGTGCTTGGTTTTTCCTTGGACCATTTTTCGCTCGTCCTCACTCGATTTTCCACATAATAGCCAACAGAGCCGACGACCACCGCAACTGGTAAAACAACATAAGGAGCATACGTTCTTGCTGCGGCTAATATCACAGGCCAAACCATGATAGAAAAGAAGGTAAAGCTTCTCTCAAAATTTATCAAGGTTCGATCAACCGTGCAATATGGCGGAGAGCGGACGAGTGGAACCTGGGGATGATTAGTTATCAAGCTTTCTCGTTGGTTTTGCCTGTTTCGTGGTGCCTGGCGGAAATCAAGAGAAAGGGATGTAATCAATATGGCCGACGACTGGTTACTTTAACGATGATGTTGAATCGTTAAGGATTTTCACGTTTAAATATGATTAGGAAGGGATTAATGAGTCCTAAAAATATTTTGATACTGAGCTTCGTACTTTCTCTTCTTGGATTTTTATGGTTTACAAATCAATGCCTTCAAGGTACGTGATCTGTTATTAAGAGCTTCTGTTGGTAAGTAGGCCGTTGGCCCAGCCTTTCTTTAACCCTTTCAACCCAAATATCAGTTTGCATATTCTCCATACTATTTTCTATACATTTCCGTAGGTGCTGACTAGGAAAATTTGTTTAAAAATCAAGGGCTCCTTTGGCTGTTGATAATTTTCTTTATCATGACCTTAATGCGTGATACAGGGATGATATTGTAAGGAGAAATTAGATGCTAGTCACCCTTAAGGGGTTAAAGGGTTAAGTCTTATTTGGTACTTGCTTGACACACTCCTTGATGGAGAGACGAACTGTGAGAGTAAGGTGGGCTACCCAAGGACATGGTACAATGACCCAGTCAGGGCTCAATCGTAGACCTAAAATGGAAAGTCCTGTTTCAAAACAATAGGCCAGTGTGTCTTCCTCCTACTCTCCCTTAGTTATGTTCCTCAGAAAAGTCTTTGAACATCTAACATGTTGATTCTGGGGGTAGTGAATGGTCACTTGAAACATTCTGGGTTGCAGAATATTCATCAGATCTCAAAATCTTGTAATCCTTTGTGATAGCTGCTGATGTCTCACAATTCTTTCAAATTTCTCCAAGCTCATGGCAATCCACCAAATAGTGATTTATCTAGCAAACAGTGTTGTCCACCCTTGGAACAACTAGGGCCAGAATTTGTTCCTGTAGCTCAGGGTCTTAGTCTAAGGCAACCAGAGAAGCTTAGGGTTTTTGATTTGAGGGACAAAAGTCTGTTTGATCACCCATCCCCTAGTCATCAAACCAGTCACTTTGTTAGGTTTAATTTTGAACCAATCAATACTGCTCATGATTGGTACATTTTAGTTTATTTATTTTTCTAACTGTTGTTGTTTTTTTTAACAATGTTTCTTCTAGACTCTGGTAGGTCAAGGGATGATGTGGTAAGGATAAGCCAAATGCTTAAAAAACTGGAAAAGAGAGAGCTCTCATTACAAGAAAGAGAAGAAGAGATCATTAAGAAACTTAAGATCCTAGGGATAAGAAAAATCAACAGTCTGTTTGAAGAAGGCTTTGATGAAATGCCAACTATTTATTTTATCACTCCTACCTATAAAAGACATACACAAAAGGCTGACCTAACAAGACTGTCGCAAACACTGTTACATGTCCCTAAACTTCACTGGATAGTAGTAGAAGATTCTGACAAGAAAACAGATCTTGTCTCACATTTCTTGGAATCCTGTGGTGTTAGTTACACACATTTTGCAGTCAGAACTCCAAAGCAGCTCATAACTAAAGAAGGAGACCCAAGGTGGTTAAAAGCCAGAGGTGTAGAACAGAGGAATTTGGGCCTTAGATGGATAAGACAAAATTTAAAGGATGATATGAAAGGTGTTGTATATTTTGGAGATGATGATAACACTTACGATTTGAGAATATTTGAACAGGTAAGGTACATCTCAAATTAAATTTAGTCAATCATGAACTCTTGGGTGTTTAGTTTGTATATATGTAAATGGTATCACCCCTTTCTTTGGTGGTGCTGCCACAAATGTGCAAGTTGTAAGTAGGGTCATTAGAAGCTGAATCATGACTAATTGGAGATCTCTGCAGGTGGATTAGTCACTGCAAGTCAGAGGACCCCTAGTTAAGTAGATCAACTTGAATATAGAATTAGTTACCTGTAGAGATCCAAACTATATCTTTCTTTCATTCTACCAGTAACTTGTAATTCCTTTTAAAAGAAACTAAAGAGCATTTCAAGAATTGTGACTTTTATTATAATGAATTTATATACTTTCACAAATTTTAATTTTTAGTGTACTCTTTTTTAGTGAGATTTTTAGTGACCATTGAATGTGGTTTGACAGTTCTGTTTTAAATTTTTTAACTACTTCTAGATGCGATACACAAAGAAAATATCAGTTTGGCCTGTAGGCTTAGTGGGTGGTTTAAAGTGGGAAGGACCAATTTGCAAAGATGGATCTGTTGTCAGATTTTACACAATGTGGGAGCCAGGACGTCCAATGCCTGTCGACATGGCAGGGTTTGCTATAAATGTCAAACTGATTATGGATAATCCTGAAGTGGAAATGGACCCGATGGCCAAGAGGGGCTATTTGGAGTCTTCTGTTGTTGGCAGATTGGCAGCAAGGGAAGATTTTGAGCCATTGGCTAATGATTGTAAACAGGTACACCAACTTTGTTGGGTTAGATAAAGTTTCAGAACTGGTACAGTGTGCAGGTGTAAATTATCATCAAGTTAGACAACATATAATTTTTCATGGATGTGTATCAACTGCTTTGATCTTTTACAAATGAATATCAATTTTTTTTGATGGACTGGACATCTATTGGTTCAGATGTATGTGAGCAATTTTCCTCTGCTCGCACAAGACCATAAATGTCACTCCCACTATCCCTGATTCCTAGCCTGAATTGCCAGTGTTCAAAGGTGGAGGGTGGGGGGGAAAATAGGTAGATTATTTGAGCATGAAGGGCAATATATGAATTAGCATCCAGACCCCAAGCTGGCACACACATCAATCACCCAACCCCTTTTTGGTATGTGGACCACTCAGGCTACCTTCTTTCCCTCTTTCCCACTTGCACTAAGTTACCATTCCACCTCTTGCTTCCCTTTTTTAATCCCTCCCATTACTACTCCTACCCTCATCCCTCACAAGCACCACCTTCCTTTTGGCTTTTTGTAACGCAACTCTCTTGAACAACTAAGAGTTCAAAATTAGCAGCTATTAAAACAAGCGGAATGTGGTTGAGATTCCGTAGAAGAATGTGGGTGACTGACACTGGACAAAGCTGAAAAGGATCTCAATTGAATGATCTTGCTCTTTGACACGTTGATCACAACTACAAAATTTGTAAACGTTTTCCTTTCGGTATAACTCTACCTTTATTTGTTTGTTTGAAAAGGAACGTTAAAGGGAGTTAGCTTAATGCGTTTGTGACAGATCCTCTCCTCTTTTAGTCCTTACACGTGCACACATGTCAAGTTTTAATTGATTTCTTTGGCCCTTAGGAAATGCTTTATGTGCAATCACTTGCAGAGGATTATTTGTTCAATACAGTTTTTTTTTGTTAACAGATACTGGTGTGGCACACGCAAACAGCTGAGCCGAAAATGAAACAAGAAGATAAATTGAAAAGAATGGGACGTGAGTCTGATCCATCCATGGAAGTCTAAACATTGGTTATCCGCCAACTATGCTGTTTTTCTATCAAAGTTTTATTAAACTACTTGTGGAACAATTGGACCATATCTTTGTTCTCTTAGCACTATGAATTGAACGAGCTCTAATCTAAATTTTAAACTAAAATGGCAAGATAAATATTTGAAATTAAAAGAAGGTTATTTTGGAGGACGAATACTGATTAACAAATATATTTCACTCAGTATTTGTGGAGAAGAAGGAATTTGATCTTGTTTGGGTGTACGTTTCAAAGGTGAGTTTTTGACAATAATGGCTGCACTTTTCGGGAGTAGTTACAGTTGCTCTCTTTCTTCCTTGCCAAGCATTTTCGTTCCTTTTCAGGGATTATACATTAATTCGGTGTTGCTGAACTGTGCTTTCAGTTATTAATACGAATACGCGCATCAGTCATCTTGAAATCGACTTGTAGAAGGGCTAGACTTTGGTTTAAGGCTATACACTAGTCATGCGCACTTTACCTTCTTTATTAACTCGGCCTTTTTACGGCAAATAGCAATACTTTCGCCGTGGGTGCAAACGTAAGTCTGCCCAGTTCACTCCAGAAAGGCGAAGGGTAAAACTTTTGGATTTGTCGGAGCTTGGTGTGAGTAAGATACGTTAGAAGAAGCTGTCTGTAGAGGAAGGGCGCACGAGTTTATTAGTGAAGGATGTGAAGTCGAAGTCTAAAGAAGATGAAGAGATGGGGCATCAATGTACGAACATCCACTCAGATTTGAAGGCAACCGAAAGCGCAAGTTTGACGAACCTTCGGCAAACTCCATGGAGTGCTCTATATTTGAATTCTCCTCAAAATTTACTTTCAAAGAAAGTGACAGGGAGGTCGAACAAAGGAGAGAAAGAATTTAATTCCTAAAAAAAAAAGTCTTACTGAGGTGCTGTGAATGCTGTTTTTGTTTTATTTTTTTCATTTCAAGCGTCTGTTTTATAACTTTCGCTGGAAAGATGAGTATACTATCAAATTTTAGTTTCCTCGGCTTAGCTTGCATGATTTTTATGGAGATTTTAATATCAATTTGATTAGCGTAGCACACGACTGATTACTCCTCTGTGAACCCTTATTTGCGAGCTTCCTCATCTATGAATGTGCTCATGGAAATGTTGTTCTACCTCTGACTTGGTCTTCAGAACAACTATGAGAGGAGTATGCTGTGACTGCCATGCGGCGAATATGCTGTGTCGTCAACAGTATGACCTGGACTGTGAAATGGCCTGTCTTGGTCGGAAAGGGTTGAATTCACTGGAGAAGAAAGTTCGGAAAGGTGATTACTTTTAACCGAAAACTGCCCTAAATGGCTCTGGCATTAGCAACATCCCATTTTAGTTACTGCCGGAAGCGACATGAAAGGTGTTTCGGTTAATTTTCTCCATTTTCCCTTCGAAGTTGAGAGGAGAGAGATTATTTGAGCATGGAGGGCAATCTTTGGAATCTTAGTACTCTCAGATCTAACGCTGGCACCCGCATAAATCACTCCACCCCCTGTTGGTACGTTGACCACTAAGCTTAAGGCTACTTGCTTTCCCACTTGCGAGATTATTTCTCTTGTATTTTTAGATTGTTGAATTTCCCAACACCTAAGCTTTACTTCTCAATAAGACATTGTGAAAATGGACCCATCAATCCAGAAGGAATTTATCAACAGTGCCAATTGAATCATGATTTTTGTAAGTGTGTCAATTGAATGACCACGTGATTCCGAACTGCGTGGAAATGAGTCTCGAAAAGGATTCTGAATTACTGGGTAAATTGCATCGGCATTAAACAAACTGGAAATGCAAACTTAATTCTATCATTTCTCCTCTAACTTAAAATTCGTTGTAGTTGACGCCATCGTCTTCACCCATTAAAACCTTTTTCCTTTTTACTTCTTTTAACACTGAATTATGAGTATCTACACTCGCCTCGGCACGCATCATCTCTGATGCTGGTGTACAACTCGTTGAGCCGATTGAAGTCTGCGGTGAGTGCATACTTGGTGTCCGGTTTAGATGCAATCTCTTTGAGCTGCCCCATGTCGTAGTTTCGTCCAATTCCAATAGCAAATACGGTGATGTTTGCCTCGTGCAGTTTTTGGGCTGGTAGTGTTATATTGTCAGTTGATTTTCCATCAGTCATAACTATAAGAACTTTTGGAACCTCTGGACGGCCTGTTTCGTCGAATAGTTTACGCTTCACGAAAGATAATGCTTTTGCCGTCAAGGTACCGCCTTTCAGGTAAGGTGCTTTTTCAATATCCTTTATCATTTGTTCCGCATCAAAGTATTGCTTTAACGTGAAGATAGTTTTGATCTGAAAAGCACGAAATAGAGAAAAATATCAATTCAATTGCCTAGCAAAACCTCAAGGAGAATTAAAAAACAGCACTATTATCGCAATAGTTATGATGGACATCTTCATTATCGTTATTGCCATCGTCGTTATCGATGTTGTCATACTGTTGTCGCCATCGTCCTAAGTGTCATGGTCATCATCGTTATCTTAATCGTCATCTTCATTGCCGTCATCGTTATCATACTTGTCGTCATCGTGATCATCGTTATTGCCATCGTCATCATTATCATCGTTATCGTCATCTTTATTGTCATTGTTATTGTTGTTATCATCGTCATCGTCATTCTTATCGGCATGGTCATCGCGTGATCATCGTAATCATACTTATCGTCATCGTTTTCGTTATAATCGTTATCGTCCTCGTTTTCGTCGTCATCTCATCGTCGTGATTGTGGTCGTCATCATCATCATCATCATCATCATTAGTCCCAACGTCATCCTCTCTTGTCATGAAAAAAGGGGATGGGGGAGTAGTAGTGTTTGTTCATCATTGCTCTATGACCTTAGGTTCACTGGCAGGCAACTGTCATACAAAAAATCAGAAACTGCCTAAACCGTACCTTTTATTAAAGATAAATGTAATCTACTTACACAAGGACTTGCCAGTACAACAAACCTTTGAAGAAAACAAGACCATTCCCACGTGTGTAAAGGTCTCTGAGATAAATGAACCGTTCACAGCATTTTTGATAAAATCCAAACACTTTTTGAAGTTTCCTTTGCCGTATTTTTCGATGCTTCCTGAACTGTCCACTAGGAATCCAATGTCTATCTTGGTTTTACATTCTATGCAACGACAAAAAAATGATAAGTATCAATAATTTTTTTTATTATACAAACTATGGTGTTATACAAGGATTTCCAGCCCTGAGAAAAGCCGTAACAACACACGTGAAAAAATACGATATTTTGTTCACGTGTGTTTGATATCGCCAATCAGATACTGACATGTCACACGCCTTTCCGCCACTCGGTCAGGTTGATGAATGAACGGCAAAGCCTTCACCATTCTCAATCCATGGTCGTTTGTCGGAATATTTTCGGATTAATTATGGGTGCTATAAAACTGAAATATCCGTATTGACGCTTACAGACAGTGAACTTCAAACTTTCCTAGAAAGGGAAGAAAATCAAAATACGAAATGAAAAACCGAAAGTTACGTATTTAGTGGCTTTGGTAATGGAATTTCTCGCGACTGAGAACGAAAATCGACCACTGAAAGATTTGCCACAGGCCAATTTTGGCCGTTTACCTGAATGATTTCTTCTGTCGGTGAGGACCAATTCAGTAACTGAGAATTTTGTTCATTGAAAATTAGGCCCATTGTTTGTTTTCGTAGTGATTCAACGCATGTTTTCATCTTGAGTGCGCCAACGTACTTTACGATTTGTATTCTGGATGGTTGATCCTTTTATTTTCATTCATTAACAGAGTCGACTTTTCTTGTCAGTAAAAGGCTATTGCGTTCATATGATAAACAAAATAGTACATAGAGAAAGATGATACACGGTTGCTTGTAGATATGAGAAATAATACGTGGTTGCTTGTAGATATGAAATTTCTCTTCTCGTATTTAACTCAATATCTTACTCCGTCGTTCGCTGCGGTCACTCCTGAGCTATTGAGTTAAACACTCGAAGGGAAATTCCATATCTACGCGCGCCCATGCATTATTCTCTATTTATCGTTTGGTTGGCACCAAAAGCCAACACAAGAATACAGGCAGCTCGTCAGAAAGCTTAAAATAATATTCTAATTTTAAATAATATGATTTAAGTAGGTCACTTGAAAGCCTTTTTGTCTTCTCAATTCACCAAATTTGAAAAAAGCAATTGTTAAAACCCCTGAACGCATTCCACTGTCTCTGACATGACCCCTCAAGTGCTTGTTGTTCACAGTTATTTGTTTCTTCACTGAATGACTTACTACAAAATCCACAAGTGAGAGCACAATGCTTATTCATTCCGTACGGGTACTTGGTACAGAAGTCATTATCTCTGTAGTCTTTGCAAAAAGCCTCGTAAGCTTTGTCATCCCGACAGGTGTCATCTAACAAAAAAAAATCCATACATTGAAAGGGAATGGATAGATAAGAAAAAAAAGAATAGGCTAAGAATTTAGTGTAACCCACTGTGAAAGGATTGTGCCATATTATTGAAGTCGCAGGTTCTCGGATACTTAAAAAATATTATTTCCGTAAAAACTGTCACTAATACTTTTTCTAAACAGAGTGAACATTTGCGCAAAATTTAATTTCATTCGGGTGAAATCCGTGTGGGAGCGAGGAATTCCATATCAAACCAATTAAGAGTAATTTTAGATTGATTACATCTGTAATAAGATTGGTTTAAATGAATGGCTTCTTTCGGTCTCAAATGTAATCTAGAAATGCATTGTTTTGCTTCTCCCTAACCTTATTGGTCTCAAAACTCGCTCTTTGTTCTTAACCAACCAGATGGAAAACTCAAACCAACCGGGAGATGATCCTTAAAGTTTTACTGTGCTAGTGATCGTTTAAAAGCTTTTGCTATGAGCTAATTTCTCATCAGTTCCTCGCGAAGTTAAGCTAACTTTTGATTGGCCAAGTCTACGAGATAGCCAGTGCGGTTTTTGTTTTACGACACTTAATCGAAACAAAGCTTTATGACTTGTCTCACCAAGAGTTTACTTTAGCCCTTCGGCCTAGCGTACCAAAAGTGGTCAGAAGCGATGAGGTTCGATTCACCATTTTTGAAGAACTAATATGACATATTTCTGTTTCCACATTACTTATTTAAGGAGGTGACTTCAAAATATTATGCTTCAAGAAAGTAATGTTCGCGTAACTATTCACAACAAGCTCAAGTTCAAGAAAGCTATTTTTCGTGAAAGGATATTCTTTTCGTTGAATTATTTGTTGGGAAAAAACGTACTCTGTGACACTTCTTGTCTTGCCCTTCCAGCTTCTGTACCTTTGTAAAATAGTAGAGTGTTGGAATAGAGTTACACATTAACAAACAATTCTTAAAAGTATTTTACAAGTAAGGAGAACTTTGATCATCCATCGCAGGAGCGACCTACCGTACTATTTTAAAATTGTATCTTAATTGATATCCGGGTGTTTTTATACATTTAACCCTAAAACTAGAATCTAATTTCTCCGTACAATATCACCCCTGAATCAAACTTCAAGGTCACTAGAATGGAGGAAATGAACCAACTGAAGAAGCTCTTAGATGTCAACTGACAAAGAGAGAAAAAAAGGAAGAGAAAAGTATGGAGAATGTTCATACTGATGTTAGGGCGTAAAGGATTATGGTCGTGTCTCGGACTGTGAACATCCGTCATTTCAACCTGTTAATTTTTTATCTAAACTTACGTGCATCCTCCAGGCCGTGATGTATGGTTGACCTAAAATTCTCGTTTAGTATAGTACTACTTTTTCTCGCCGCGTTTGAGTCAGCGATGTTCCAGTTACTTGTAGAGGCGTCTGAGAAAAACAAGATATTATCACAAGAATAAACATAACATCACAAATAATTCGGTCGCTTTGCTAGATCGTATTCCTGAATGTTTTACATATTGCAAAACAACTTCGTACGCAAGTTCCAGGATTATCGTGGATGTCGCTGTTTGAGAGTCTCAATTGGATTGTAATTTTTAACGGCTAACGGTTAAAATTTTGGCCATTTTACAGCTAACGGTTAACTTCCTTCCTTTATGATCAAAAGAAAAATATCCACGTTGAACTTTTTTTACGACTTACTGTTGCAATTTGTCAATTTTTACGCCCAACGGCTCAAGTCTTGGGCCTTTTATGTTCAGCGGTAACCCTATTGAGACCCTCCTGTTTTGTTGAATTGAGAAAGCAATATTGTACTTGACACAGTGCGTTTTTTTCCCAGCATGTGGGTAGTTTTTATCCGATGGGTAGCATTAAGTTTGTTTGTTTTTATCATTTTTTAAAATACCTTCTCAGTTCTTACCTTTAGTGAAGAATGCTAGAACTGATAATAAGAGGCAACCATAGAAGATGGAAATCTTCATTTTGACAATCTGTAACAAAATCGAAATTGTTTATTTCGTTAGATAAATTGTGATTATAACACAGACATTCAACAAATTTCCACGTTCTTCACACACAGAATCAATGAAACAAAATGTTTTCGACTTTATTCATATCTAGAAAGCTAGATGAGACAGGTTTACAGATTGCGTTCGGGGATCACAATGAAACTAGGAGTCTACGACTAGTTGATTGCCTTAATGCACCCATAATCGATTATATTATAAACATATACATGTTTGTTGCTTTTCTTTTGTTATTATTTAACATAAGTTATAATGTAATAATTACGATAACAGTGTTTGTTTTCAGTTTGGTGTACAATGTCATTTTGAATTAATTACATTACAACATTACTTGTTGTGACTCACTCTGGTTTTAAGCTGACAATAGTGCAAAAAATCTACTTACTAACCAGTTTTGGATCGTTTGCTGTTTCATCGAGAGAACAATGGAGCCGTGACTCCTCAATGTTTGCCTGAAACACCTTACAATTTTGCGGGAGAAATGATAAATAATTATCAGTTGAAGGGGGAATGGTTTTACGTGTGGTATATTCAAAGATTGGCAGCAAGTCACAGGTGTTGGTACAAATCGTCACGGGTGTTTCCTTTTTACCCTTTTCACCCTAACATCAGTATGCATTTTCTCCATACTGTTCTCAATACATTTCCTAAGATGCTGACAAGGAGAACTTGTTTAACAGTCAAGAGCTCCTTTAGTTGGTGATCATTTCCTTTATTCATGTGACCTTAATCTGTGATTCAAGGGTGATACTGTAAGGAGAAATTCTAGTCACTCTGGAGAGTTAAACGTTAAAGCGATCTCTGTGTAACTGAACTTGATAACTCCGAGAAAACTTCAAAAGACGGGGGTGGGGGGGCACAGAGGGGCTATATGCTTCAACTTTTTGTTTTATTTGTCATACCACAGGCGGCCCGAGCTCCAGCTGTGAGATGATCATCTTGCGAAATAAGAGTCATGGCGAAATTATAAGAGTTTGTATGTGAATATTTATGACCGCTCTTAGGAATTAAAAAATACAATCAAATTCCCACTAGAAATACTTCACCTTACTTCCACAGTGCATCACTTGTTATCTGACCGCTTACTGTGTTGAAAAGGACCCATTTTAGCGAAGTATCCATTTGTAGCAGGTAATTTAGTGTTAAAAACTGAGTTGAAAACGTAAATTAATTAGCCACCGTAAAGGGTAAAAAAGCTGACGTTTCGAACGTCAGCCCCTCGTCAGAGCGAAGGGTCAACCGGTCTGACGAAGGGCTAACGCTCAAAACGTCAGCTTTTTTACCCTTTACGTTGGCTAATTTACGTTTTCAACTCAGTTGTTAACACTAAATTACCTGCTATACTCTCCCACCGACGCAGCACCACAGTTTCTTTAGAAACTTACCCCTTTATCCATTTGTAGGTTTACTACGTACTTAACTGAGAGAACTAAAATTATCAGCTCTCTCAATGCGACAAATCATAATTTAATTCTACGTGATTCGGTTGTTCTTTTCGGTTAGTGCAAAAACCCGACACTCAAGCTCGCGGCCAAGCAATACTAATCCGGCAAACATTTTTCAGGAACCATGCTTATAACGCTCGATTGTCAAACAACTTTTTTTCAGCCCTGATGACAACTTTCCACTCAAGTGTCAATGTCGCCGACAAACGTTCTTTTCAAAAATTCCGTATCCGGGAAGATTCGACTCAACGATCACTCAGCACTTATCTTCGTTTTAGAACTTTGCCAAGGAGGTTTCCATTGCTACTTGCGACCTTACGGAGACCTTCATCTTTAATTCGAGTTAGGAGCTTAACTAAGTGTCCTTAAACAGTTAGATATGCTTTCAGTATTTACATCAAGTCTTGTATTGATCGTACTTTGAATGAAGAAAATTTTCAGGAAATAAGCTTTTAAAAAGTAAACCGTCTGGATTAGCTTCGCGATCGAAAGTTAACCAAGGCTAGATACAGTTTGTGGTTAATGGATTTCTCTGTTCTCGTCGTGACGCAGTATATTTTTTCCGCCAATTTGTGGGCGAAGCGAAAAGCCATCATAGCACGACTTTTCTGTCACCGATGTCGAGTTTTACGTCCATGAAAAATTGCTTCAGGTGCTCAGATTGCGTAGTAAAACAGAAAATGCATTTCACGATCAGTTATGAAATGAAAACCTTGAAGAGAAAGATGTTCTTGAAGTTATTTACACTGTGTTAAAATATATCTCTTACGATAATTAGCAATTTCAATCACTGTAGTCGTTCATCCTTTTGAGAAATATTTGTATTCTTTATCCCGACATGGGGAACAAATATTTCCCAAACTTTGAAATCGAGACTAGCGTTATGATTCGATATTTAACAAAGACTACTTAAAGGAATATTGTCTAGAACTTTAATTTTCTCACTATTTCACAACTGAATTTTAACTTCATAATCATGTTCATGTATGATTTCAAGATTAGCTCTACAATCTTAATCAAAAGTTCATTATTGCGCAGTTTTGTCTTATGAAAGTTACGCACAGCCACCTTCTCTCTCGCCTGAGATTTTATCAACAGAACCGCAAGAAAAGTTCCCACCTGGAAAGAACTGACCAATTGTTATGATATACGTGAATTTTCTAAAGTTGCAATTAACTTAAAAGGAAATAAAATGACACTTCTGTTGCAATTATTAGAAAGATTGTTAGTATAATGAAAGGAAATAACTCAATTTGAGAGGTTTTCCGAAGTGTAATTAGATAAACTGTCGACATTTCGATTGATGTTAATTCTCACTTAGATTCACGGATAAATCGCTGATTTTCTCGTGTCCGCTGCCTTAATGAGATTGGAGTTGTATTTCGTGATGTTCTTATCATTCCTAACGAAACTAAATTGTCGTGCCTCAAGCTTTTTACACCTGTTTACTTAGTTTAATAAAGCTAGTATTATCTTCTTCTTTGCCATGGTAAAGTTGAAGTACTGTTATCCTTCATGACAAGAAAGAATTTTTAATTTTTCTTCAGCTTAGGTGTTAGGATTAAGGGCGAAACATTAAATTCTTTCAATTGCAATAATAATTCGTATTATTATTGATATGTATTAAAATCCTGTTTTGTGTAATGAGGGTTATTCCCCAGTGTAAAAAGTTTTTAATTCTTGAGTTATCTCAAAATATACGGTTAACCTTCGGCTTCCACTGATTCTCTTATCTGTTTTACCCCAATTAACAAAAATCATGATCAGTCTAGACCCACTTGTCATCGCGCAAGAATCATATTTACAAATGGTAGGGATATGAATGTCAAAATCTTCCTCAGCAATTTTTTTTAATCTTTTCACCAAGGGCAGATAAAGAGCCTGTGATAACAATTCACAAGTTTTTGTTGCGCATGTGTTAAAAACTGTCTCTGGGAAACTTCAGAAATTATAAAATCGTCTAACCGACCGTAGTCGGATCAACATTAATCCGTAACACGTGTTTGGAGGTAGAGGCTAATAATTAAACCGTATAAAGGTTAGTCACGTTTGATGGTAAATCCTGTCAGGTACGGCACGGAAAAGTCGTATTACTATCAATTCATTATGTAAAACTTACGTCAATTAACAATATTCCGTCATCTATTAAAGGGGCAGAGATAACATGTCTTGTTTCAAACTATTATTCTAAACTTGGGCGCGTGAACAAAGCCAACGACATCCATAAAGGTGAGACTCCTTTTTCATGGTTTTTTAGCAGATTATGTCGTTACGGCGTTCAAATTTTTGGTGGTAGATTCGAGAGAGTTGCTCTTTTAAAACCTCCTGTTTTTATAATATTCTATTTCTGTGTTCCAAAGACCTTCACTGTAATTAAACTGAGGTCAGGTGCGAAGCCATTGTTTAGAAATGAATATCATTCACAGTAGTATTCTTTTCTTCAAAGAGAAGAGTTTACGCTTATCCGCATTTTAAAAAAGAGGCATCTCGGAAACGGTTTGTTCTGTAATGTAATTTTTCTGCTTGAAAACTAGCTCCTAAATAAACCGTCATTCATTCATTGCGAGAGTTGAGTTGGATTCTCAGCGATGAATTCTAAAAAACCAACTCAAGTAGGAGATACGATACGTGACCATGGCTTTTATTAGGAGGAAGATTTACATTCAGCTTGTGCATGGCATTGTAAGGGCTCTGTAAAATAAAACAGTTTAGATGTCTTTGTAGGAGAGTTTATGAAAATACTCTTCACTCGAATTATTTTTTTCCACTAGCGTCTTGATCCTATCTTAGGTTCATTATTATTTTGAAAACGCGATGTCAATTTCATATTATCTTTTGAAATGTTTCGTTAAACATAAAATAATTCAAATATATCATATTTTTTTTTATGTTTGAACAGCACCTTGGAAGTGATTTCAATATTAATTATTTTTCGGCCGGCTTAAACGCGAGTCTTTCCTGTTTACTTGACCATGAAGGCGGTTAGTTCAAATACACATATGTACCTAGCAGCCAAAACAATTCTTTCAAGTCTTGATCTGATATTTAAAGTTAATAGCGAGACGTACGTCAGAGCACAGCGAGAACTATTATCATTCTTGGCTGTGAGATATATATAGAATAACTTGTTCTTGGCAGTCAGTTAGAATTAAGGGAACAAGTGTAAATAGGAAGGCAACCAAGGAAGAACAAAAAAAAAAAAAAATACAGGGATACAGGGATCTTAATTAAAACCCCGCCAATTTCTCTCGCCCGCCCAGACGGTTGTCTCTGCTACTGGCCGAGAACCCAGTCATAAGTGGGCGGGAAGAACAAGTATTGAACGTCCTCTCATATGCCTGTTACGTTCTGACTCATGATCAAAGTCGGTTTACGTAATTCACTGGTAGTGCTTTTAGAATTATGATCCAAATCACTGATTTTCCACCGTTCATTAGCATAAGCGGAAAAGAAATAACTTCCTTGAGCTCGAGTTCGCGCGCTCTTCGTAGGATTGACAAGAACTGTACTTCAACTGTTGAGATTTTCAGCTGCTCATATAGTATAAATATTTGCATACATATTGCTCTTAATGTAGGAGTTGAAACTCTATAGCCCGAAGAATTACCAACTTTGCCACATCTATGCCTGCGTTGATTATCAAAGTGACGAACTATTAAGTAATCATTTCTCGTTATGAAGTAATTTTCAATTGAGTTTCAAAAATAAACCCAGGTTGCATTTGCTTTGCTTTAGAGCGCTATTCGATTGCTTTAGATAACTGGTGCCATCAGTTCTCGACCAAGCAGATGCAGGACTAAAACCAAACTCGAATTGGTCACTGGCTCACATTTTCCCGCGCTTGGCGCAGCTTACATGCTTTGTTTCTGAAGTTCCTATTGGTTCCTTCTGATTCTGCCTTTTTTTTCTGACGCAGTTACGACTTTCTCGCTATTGATGTAATATGCTCAGTGCTTAAAAGATTTTAGAGTGAACAACGACCGGAGGTGGTTTGGTTTGAGTAAGAAAATATCTTGTACCTTAAATTGCTTTTTTTCGTGTATTCGTAACTCATTCAGTTAAGATAAAATTTTTCGAGTGTCTATCGGTAAATAAGGTTTCATTGGCAAAGGGGAGTGCTTTCAGCATGTTTGGTTCCACTCTTGGAAAAAGTAATGTTGTCTTTTCTAGCCCGAGAAAAAAAATTTAAATGAAAAGCAGGACTAATTAAAAGGAGAAATCTTTTTTTTTTTGACAAAAATAACCGCAATTCTTAATCGGATAAATTTATCGATTATAATAAATTTAAATTTTGCGAAAGAAAAAGAAAAGAAAAGCTTAGCAGGAATATTAGCCTTGGCTCCAACGCAACGCTGTGCTGACCGACTAGATTAATGTTTAAAATGGACAAAAAATTGATCGCCATAGGTCGCCACAATTAATTTCGAATTAATCCTTTCTTTAACTTTACCCTTTTAAATGACAAGTTATTAGAATATGAATAAAAAGTGGGCCAAAGAATAATCATGATAGGATTAATCAGTCAGTGAACTATTTTTTTTACAATTTATAGTTGCTTCTGCTGATAAAGCTTGAAATCCTGTTGGAAATTATTTTTCTCATTTGTTGAAGTTGCTAGTTTATTTTGGCAACCATTCACAACATCAAACTTTCAAAGTTTGAGCTTTTTCTCCCCCCCCCCCCCCCCCCAAAAAAAAAAAAAAAAAAAAAAACATCCGAAATGAGAGTTTGTTTTGGTGAAAACACTCTCATTAACAAGTCACTCATTTCGATTTTTCAAGCAACAGAAGATGTTTTAACTTTGCATGTCAAGCTGTGATGGAGGTCACGTTTCAATGCACCCTCAGGGCAGTAAAATGAAAAGCTAGATATGTACTACAAAAAAATTTACTATATATATTTTACTCTATGAACGACTTTTGGCTTTCTTTTTTAAATGTGACTTTTTTCATAGAACTGCTCAGTTCAACGGCTTTGTTTTGAATGAGCTCCTGTCTTTATAATGTTTTCGTGACAGGTAGCTACAAGTTTCTAGACACAAACATCTGTTGGGTTTGTTGGTTAATCTTAATAAATGGAAAACTGTTCCATTAATAGTTGTAACTTCCCTTCCCAAACGTTGAACTATTGATGCACCAGCGATAAAAACTGCATATTCAGTGAAACCTCACTGGAATAACTTCGCTCCTCTTTTGTTTTTAAGGTAAGGGAATAATATAAGTAACGAAATTGTCTATTGTTGTTTTGAGCCAGAAAGTGTTAAAAATGTTAATTGTGAAAGTTCTTGTTTTAAAATTGACTTTTCTCTTCGTAATCTTAAAGATGAGGAGATACACAAATAAAACTATGGGTAGTAGTTTTCATTCGTGAACTTTGGTCTCGAGTCGATTGTTTTCTCTCTTTTAGAAAAAAAAAAGAGTTCATTGTCTTTTGAAATCCGGAGCTTTCTATCCCCTTATTTTCGTCTCCAGGTGACTTGCATCACTGCTTCTATTTCTACCCTGTCATATGAAGCTCATTGTTGTCGTTGGTTTTGAAGTGAGATTTGTCGTGCCTTTTTCACACGCACGTTAGCTGTTTCTGCTCTGTGACAGCAAAGGACTAATTTCCAAAAGAGTTCAGTCTAGATCTTTGACGCAGGAAGCAGGTGCAAAAGACTAGTTTTTGCGTAATTTGCCTCCTGGGTTTTCCTTCAATAATGAAACTCCATTAACGCTAAAGTTAAAACACGTTCTAAAGCTGTTTTGTCAAACACGAGTTGAAATTGTTTCCTATATAGATGCTGCTTGGATTGATGTTTGTCGACCTCAAATTTAGCATAAGGAGTCTGCAAGTTCGTGATTATTTGAATCCTATATAAATTCATCTTTTCCGTTTTCCGTTGCTGATTTTCATTCAGTTGAAAGTGGTTTAACAAGACATGTGAACTGGGCATAATTTTGCATCATGTAAGCCGACAGATTTATCTGATCTACTTAGGCGTATGAACTCGATATGAATTAAGGCGGTTTTCTGTGTTAGCGAATGATTTTTCTTTCGTTTTTCTTTAATCTCTTTACCCGATTGAACTGCCCCACAGATTATCGACAAGGGACATAGTATAATGATAGACTCCCACTCAAAATGGGGAGTCTGTAGACAAACTTAAACTCTCTCGACGCCGTCTCCCGCTTCGTTTCTTTTAGCACAAAGAGGAATCTGTCATTTGTAATCACACAGTAGAATTTTACTATAATTTTATGTTTACACGTTACTTTTTTATCGCATACTACCACCGATGAAGAAGTTATAAGCTATTACATTATGGTAAAGAAGTTGTGACGGTAAAAGACATCCATTTTTCTTTTCGTTTCAAGCACGTTTAGAACAATATCGTGCTGCGGAAAATAAACTATTTTTGAAATTACAGAATAGTAGTTGCAGCACCAAAATGTCATTAACACTCAAAGCCACTCAACCAAATGTGCCAACCGTTTCAACCAGCCTATTTAACTTGTAAGAAATCGTCTGGAAAAATTTTCTCATTTTGGAACTGCTAATAAAAAAGCTTGTGGAAACTGCTTCTGTTTTATATTCTCTTGGTGAATTTCGTTCTTCGAAAACAAGGAAGATCTATTAGTCTCTATCAGGGAGACTTAAGTGGATTCTATGATTGGTCAGTGACAATTTAACTGTGAAAGCTAAGCTACGGACATGGCGTCAAAAAAAAAAATTCAGGCTGCATATCTTAGTTCGATGCTGTCAATCCGTGTTAATCTACTCTTAACCGGTTTAGCCGTCCATGATCCTTTTGTTTCATTTGTACCTCGTTAGTGTCTGTTAGTTCTGTAAAACAATTTTCCCCTAGTTAAAGGAACTTCCCGGCCTCATCGAAGAGGATTTCAAAGAGCGTGACGAACTTCTTTAAATCGAGAAAGTAACTCGGTGGCTGTGTACTTGAATAATTCGATGGTGTACATGTATTAGTGGTGAAACTTTTGTACAGTCGCTGTAACAAAGCTGAAGGTTCAAAAAAGTAGAGCGCACATCCCGACCTGATGGAAAGTCGGGTTTCCCCCTCCCTCCTCCGTTTTCAGTGAAGTCGCTTAATCAGTCATGTAGTCAATGGGGGGAGCCCTCCAGTTCGGCACTTGAGGGGTGGGCTAAGATTTGTCACCCTTAGGATAACCAAAATAGACATTGACTGCTGATTCTTATTCTAGAGTGGTATTTTTTAATTTGCACGGAAA